CTCAATATTAAAGGTGCACAATTCAACCAATATATAAAAAACGATAAATAACTTCTTATCATTTCCCCCATCCCTTTTTTTCTGCAAACAAGCCCTTCTATTAATCCAATATCTGCCTTAGGAGTGTGTATAGTATAGAGAAAGAAACAAATGTTTATCCAACACCTATTGCATAAGTCATTTAGGTGCATTTGTGTCATTTAATTTTACTCCTTACAACAGTCATGACAAGTAACTTATTCTTCTCTTTTTTTACAGATAAGAAAATGGAAGAATGAAATTATATAGGAACTTTGTTCACAATTGTAGACACTAAAAATTCCAAAGCTTAGACGTTTTCCAATATCACATTTAGGAACCAGTTGAATTTTCAGACTCCATCCTCAACAGCAATATACACTGCTGTGTCTTTTTAAAACTTTTGATTTTCTTTCCAGAATCTTTCAATCTTCGGCTAGATTTTATCACCAAGAACATAAATATGCAAATTATGTATGAGTATGGTAAATGAGACAAAAGTAAATTTTTGCCATGGTGCAATGTCTTCCCCAGCAAAAACTTACTTTGATAATGTAATAACCAAATATAAGGAAGTTTTTTTAAAAGAAGCATTCATTGTATAGAAACCATTCCTAGCCCCACCTCACTGCTCTCATATTATCAAAATCAAAAATAGCTTGTGACACGATACACCATTAATAATGCTTTCACCTTTCTCTGTGATTTTTACAGCCCTGAAAGAGTATTATCAACCTCATTCAACACATGAACAAACCAACTCCAGATCTGTGATTGCTGAGGCTGGCAAATATGAAACTTGAAGAAATACATACTTTCTATAGGCTTATGCTGAGAATCTGCTTTTCTTTACCCATTCTAAAGCAAGATAACTGCTAATAATTAAACATCCATACCTGCCATAATCAAGTAAGTCGCAACAATATTGTGTTCAGTCTGTGAAAAGACCGAGCCATCTTCATTTTTAGAGTCTGAACTGTTGCCTAAATCATTCTTTAGCATTTTGGAGGGAAGATATTGAGACAGCCTTCATAATAAGCCTCCAATAATTATGAACTGTTCTATGAGTTGCTGAGGAAAGATTTCTCAGGACCAATCATTTCCACTTAGAGAATTCAAAGAAGGGCCTTTTCATACAAGCCCTCCCTTAACAATTTTAATTGGACTACAGAGGAAAGAATTTTAATTCCCAGAATAAGGGAAAAGCTTATTAGTAAAAAATAAATAAATTCCAAGCAACACACAATTTAGCCAATTTGGACACAAATTGGAGATTATCAAGTACACACATCCTAACTAAACAAACTCAGAAAATCAGTGCAGGAGCTGATTCAACTGATTTCTACTGAAAATCAGTTCTGAAATTAAAAACCAGCCTTAGTCCTCTAAAACTATTCAGTTAAGGTTCCTGATTTCTGTTGACCCTTCAAGTTCTTCCATTTCAATTCCCTTTTTTTCTTGGCAATTTAAATATTAGAGATAAAGAAGTAACCTCCCCCCATACTTCCAAGTCTCATTCCCCTAAAGATGCCAATATTGTCTGGTGTATAACCTTTCTTATACTTTTCTCTGCTTATATTAACATATATTCATACAGGGTTTGATGCTTCCTCTACTTTTTTTTAATCAATATTTTTTATTATGATATTGTGGGGTACAGTTAAGGGTTAGGTATACAAATATGCTTCGTTCAGTGTCTCCCCATCCCCAGACAGATATTTACTACTGTTAATCCCATCTCCCTTCCCCTCCCCCACATCGTTTCCCACCACTGTCAGTCATTTTCTTATAGTATCAAGTTGGATATTCAAGGTTCACTATATGAGTAAGAACATATGATACTCAGGTCTTTGTTCTGTGAGAAGTCACTCAGTATTATAGACTCTAGTTCCATCCAGGTTGCTGTGAAATTCATGATTTTGTTCTTTTTTATGGCTGTGTAGTATTCCATCGTGTATATGTACCACATTTTTTTAATCCAGTCCTCTTTTGATGGGCAGCATGGTCGCTTCCAGGTTCTTACTATTGTGAACAATGCTGCGATAAACATACATGTGCAGGTATCTTTTCTATAGAGTGATTTGAGTTCTTCAGGGTATCAAGGTCTCACTCTGTTGCCCAAGCTGGAATGCAGTGGCATAATCACAGCTCATCACAGTCTCGACCTACTGGGCTCAGGCAATCTTTCCGCCTCAGCCTCCAAAGAAGCTGGGAGTACAGGTACATACCAACATGCCCAGCTAATTTTTTTTTTTTTTAAGAGAGACTAAGTCTATATTGTCCAGGTTGATCTTGAAGTCCTGGGCTCCCAAAGTACTTGGATTATAGGCACAAACACCTAGCCACTTTTTTAAAACAAAAATTAGGAAATACATATAAGGAAATATATTCCTTGTATATGTGTGTGTAAACGTTATGCAACTTGTTTTTCCCTAAAGTCATATTATAAATTCCAGGTCAATAAATCTAAACTAAGTTATAAATAACTAGCTACTAACAACTATATATTTCATAGCATGGATATAACATGATCAACTCTACTATCTACCCCAGTTAATTTACCCTACAGTTTCATATGCATGAGTAATTAATTTGTTATCTGATTATAGTAATAACAGCATGTATCAGCAAGGTATCTGAATTTAATCATTTATATTGCAATGGTAATAATATTCTGGATTATCATGTTATAACCTGAAAATGGGTTACTCTAACATAAACATGCATTGTCAGAATAAGGTAACCTTGCTACTTTTTCTTCTATATTCTTTATGCCAGATGAAAATCTGATTCTCAACAAATTTGCTAGTATCGGTAAAACCTAAGAGGTGCTTAGATGCACCAAAGTTAACAGTGTAAGCATACAGCAGAACCACTAGAGGGCTATATTAACCCATCTCATTTAATTTTATGAATCTTAGAATGGCACAGGAGAAAGGGATCCAAGGTATCCTTTTGCCTCAGTTCTGTCACCTGAACAGATGGACTGATCTGTCCCAAAACACATATAGCTACCAGTACTCAAATTTTTATAAAGGCACACTCTAATTTCTAGTAAAGTGAATTTCATCAGTATCCCATAATAAAAAATATTTACACACAACCATAAAGCAACTGGCATAATACCTGTGAGAAAAATCACTCTTTTAAAAATCTATGGCTTATTGGGTTTTAAGTCATTTCTTTCTTGCTTTTATCTTTCATTCAGTATGCAAAATAAAACTTTACATTTGCTCTGGTTCACTCTCCCTTCCTCTTCTATAATAGCTTATAGTACCCAGTTGCAGCATCCACTTAAAATTTTTCAGAAATAATCATTTCTAAAAACTGAAAAACAGCCGGGCTCGGGGGCTCAGCCTGTAGTCCCACGCCTTTGGGAGGCTGAGATGAGTGGATTGCCTGAGCCCGCAGGTTCAAGACCCGCCTGGGCAACTTGGCGAGACCTCATCTCTACAATAAACAAAAAATCAGCCGGGCGTGGTAGTGCGCACCTGTAGTTCCAGCTACTCGGAAGGCTGAGGCGGAAGGATTGCCAGAGCCCAACAGGTCGAGGCTGCAGTGGCCAGGAGCAGCCACTGCACTCCAGTCTGGGTGACAGAGTAAGACTCCAACTCAAAAAAAAACTGAAAAATAATTAGAAAGATTGCCAGCTTTCTGATTTTGATATGAGGTAGATATATTCAAAGTGCTTCTTCATGCTTCCTTCATGAGTGATACGCAAAAGCTATATTGGGACGAGGATCAGAAATACACGTAAACTTGACTCAAAATGAAATGTCCCAGAGGAAACCCAAAGGAAACTATAAGGAAAAAAGGGAAAAGACAGGGAAATTAAAGCTTAAAGATGGCCAATGACCAAAAGATATACCTAGGGTAAATCCCCAAGTGGCCTGTCTACCAATCTATGCATTACTTCCATTACTGCCATTTTAGTTTTAATGTTTAAAATATACATATATATAGAAATGTTGCACTATTATTTGCCCTTGGGACAATGACATCATCCTTCTGGTGCTAATGTCCTTTACAAACCAAAAGCAAGAACCCTGGCCCTAACACTCAACAAAAATTCTAACCCCCAAATTTTACAACCTTCCTTCCCGAGTTATAAAAGTATAACCATTACCTCATCCTGTGAAAAAAGTAACTTTCAATATATTTATTAATCACATTTAAGGCCTATATATATTATTAATCCCACTGCAATTCCATTAATCAAAAAGGGTAAGAAAAACTCAAGTACTGACATAGGCTGTATTGCTATATTAAAATGAGTATTCAAGAGTTAATCAAGTATGTTAGAAAACTTAACAAATGATATGGAAACATCATTCCTTCTGAGAAGTAGCATGTGCAGTAGAGAAAAAACCAATGGCAGGGCAAATGCTTCCTTATCATGGAATTCTAACTTGCTACTATGGTCACTTCTTTACCCTAGCAATGGTGACCAAAACCAATTTTATTCTGAACATCCCTACCCAGGACATTTAGAAGAAAATCATATATTTACTTATGGTGAATAATATCTTAGCCCTTTAGAGTCCCTTTAAAAAAGTAAAAGAAAAACATCTAATAAAACTTAATGGAATTAATATGCTGCATGAGAAAAAGTAAATATTTCTTTAGACATTTCTTGAACTAGTGTTTTCACTTGAACAGGGATATGCCAAATTTAATAGATTCATAAGACTTAAATTTTAAAATCAATTAATTGCAATCAGAGAAACTGCTTTACTAATTGTAATTTATGTAAGAAAATACAAAACAGAAATACATCAAAGGGTATTAATGTTCTCACATATAAAAGGCAAAAGAGGGTATTAATTTGTAAATAATCATAACACACTGCTCAAGTAGCCTGTATTTTTTTAAATATCAGTAATATATGCAAACAAATCCTTTTTTTCGATCTGCAATTCACTGAATTTAAGCTTTTGTTGTTCTTTTTAACTTCAAAAAAACAGATTTGCACACACTCTAAATAACTTAAAGGAATAAAACATTTTATTTTAAAAATTCTAATATGCTTCAAACGAAAATTCCTGTCCATTAAGCATCCACAGAGTGCCAGGCACTGTACAAAACATTAGAAAGACTTGTTCATGCTCTTTTAGAGCAAAATTGACCGTTCTGTTGTGCTCTGCATGATGCTAACATATGAGATCCAATGTCATAAAATGACCAAGATCTTCGAGACTTGCTCAAGAAAGAAGTTTCCAATCCAGAGTAGAAGTAGGCCATGAAGGTTAATGCAGAAGTCAACTGGTGAAGTCGATCAACTGTTACACTCAATGTCCTCTCCCTGATGAAGAGAAAATTTAAATATTATGGGCACAGAAAATGGATTAATTATTACCCAAATCTCAAGTTTAAAATCAGCATTAGTTCCTGTAATCTTTGGTCAACACACTTTACCAAATTTAACTGTCATTCACATTACACCTTTATTTTTCAAATTACTAATAAAGTGAAATAAATTAGAAGCAGCTGAAAAAATTAAAAGGAAAAAGTAGAGTATAAAATGAAGCCATAATTAGGTTTAGCGAAGAACACCACAATGTTCTATATACTTGCTGACGAGAAAAATAAACTTAAAAGGAGAAAATATCAGACAATATCAATTCTAAAAATGCAGTCATTTAAAGACTTGTAATACTCACCTCTGAAACCACCTCCTCTTCCTCCTCTGAAACCCCCACCTCCTCTTCCACCTCTAAAACCACCTACAAAAGGAAATATTAAATAAAGTAATATATTTAAATAACAATGTAATATAAGTATAAACATTAAATAATTAAGTTATTAAATAACTATAACCTCTCATATTCTGATTTGCCTACAATGATCAATACAATCCTATAATTATAAAGAATAAATACAGATTCACACATTTTATCATGCAAAAATTTTCAGATGCTAAAAATTGAGAAACCAGTAGTTTGTTTACCAACTGGGAAGTTAAAACCCCAGATTATCAACTTTTAAACAAGTATTCCATTTTACTAATTTTAAAAAGCCTGTAAACTTGAATTATGATTTAACCTTATTGTTAAATGTGCAATTACCTCACCTCACCTTCTGCATATGGTAAGTACGGATGGAACTAAGGCTGCTTACCCTAAGAGCAAAGGGTGGCAAATATGGATGGCTATGCTTTGGGGATACATGATAGATAGAGTTATTGAGCTACAAATGGATCACAGCTGATGATCATGTCAATGAGCCTTAAAATGTTAAAATTTCTTAAGCATTTTCCCATTCTCCAATATATATTTGGCTTCCTATTTTTCAGTCTCCATTTTTATTTATTTTGGGGACTACCTTTGTAAGGAATGCTTGAATTACGCAAAGAAGAAACAAACATATACTTCTAAAATGCTGGTATAAAAAATATACAGCAGGGTTTTAAGAAAATAGACTAGTGTGTATTTTTTAATGCTAAATATGAGTCAATATAGAAAGAAAATGGGAACTCTATTCATCAAATCCAAGAAGGCACCACCAAAAATACTGAAGAGAGAAATATATTCAGATCTTTTTAAGAGATCCCCTCCTACCTATGTCAAGCCAAACACACTATAAATTTATAGAGTTAAACGATCATTAAATTGAAAGAACAAAGATGACAACAGAATTCCTTCTCTTCTCCAATGCAAAAGTGGAAGCTGGCCAAGCCCAACTTTCAGCTCCTCTCCCTTTCCACCAAGCCATCACTCACCTCCCATCCTAGGTGTAAGCTCAATCAATGCTGCAGTCCTGCTCCCCCACAACCCTGCTCATCATCTAGTGGCCTAAACAATGAATGAGCCAAAGCCTCAGGGAATGGCATGTATTAATATAATGAGATCACATCAATGAATTTATTGGTAAGAGTTTCTGACATGACATCAGAAGATCTGCATTTTAATTGTGGGTTAAATTAACTTCTGTAAGTCTCCATTTCCTCATCCATAAAATAAAACTATTATCTATCTTGAAAGGTTTTGCTGAGTATTAAAACAATATACATGGACATCAAAAGTATAAATGGCTAGTTTTAAGCATATAATCAACATTCAATGATACTAAGAAACAAAAGCTTAGTTGAGATAATCTTATAGTTTACTAAAATGCCCAAGAAAACATGAATAACCCCCAAAAGGGAAATCCCTCAAAAGTATACTTTATTAGATTTTTTCTTTTTAAGCAAAGCACTGAAATGAAGCATTATTACTATGGGCAATCTGCTAATATTCGAAAGCAGCTTTAATAAAAGAAATAAGTACTATAAAGGAGGTTTATCTATATGCAAGTTTAAGTTGTACTATATGAATTAGCCGTGACTTTGAAATCTCATTAGAAATTTTCCCCAAGTAACTTACCACCTCTACCACCACCTCTGCTGCCGCCTCCTCTTCCTCCTCCTCGACCTCCCCTGCCACCACCTCTTGGAGGCCCTTTCTCACCTGGAGGTCGAGGTAAAAACCTCTGTAGTGGCAGTAGCTTATATGGATCTATATAAAACTGGAAGCATAATAGAAGCAATCAGTGTGATACCTGAGGGATAATAGTATAATCACTAAGAATCTAAACACTAGAGTCAAAACTGCCTGAGTTCAAACCCTAAAGCTACCTACCATTTTTTACTATGTAGCTCTAGGTAAGGACTTAATTTCTTAATATCTTAATTTTCTCATCAGTAAAATCAGATAATAAAATATCTACATCACATAACTGTGTAAGGATCAAGCCGGGTGTAGTGCCTCATGCTTGTAAGCTCAGTATTTTGGGAGGCAGAGGTGGGAAGAATGCTTGAGCCCAGGAGTTTAAGACCAGCTTCAGCAACATAGCAAGACCTTATCGCTAAAAAAAATTTTAAAATAAAAAAAATTAGCCACAAGTGGTAGTGAGCTGCCTGTAGACCAGCTACTCAGAAGGCTGGGGTGGAAGGATCGCCTGAGCCCAGGAGGTCACCAGGATGCAGTAAGTCTTGACTGTGCCATTGCACTCCAGCCTGGGCAAAAGAGACTCCAACTCAAATAAGTAAGTAAACATGTAAGTTTTATACACACTTGTACTTTGGCACACAATAAACATTACATGAACATAAAAAAGCAAGACCAGCCAGACTCGGTAGTTCAGCCTGTAATCCTGCGCCTTTGGGAGGCTGAGGTGAGTGGATTGCCTGAGCCCGCGGGTTCGAGACCCACCTGGGCAGCGAGACCTCATCTCTACAATAAATCAAAAAATCAGCCGGGCATGGTAGCACGCGCCTGTAGTTCCGGCTCCTTGGAAGGCTGAGGCGGAAGGATCGCCGGAGCCCAGCGGGTTGAGGCTGCGGTGGCCGGGAGCGGCCACTGCACTCCAGTCTGGGTGACAGG